CGATACTCTGCTTGATCTACGTCTCTGATTTGCTGTTCAGTGGGTCGGCGGATGGGACGGTCAGGGTTTGGCAACGTGGAGGAGATGGGAGTTTTAATTGCCTGTCTGTACTGGAGGGGCATCAGAAACCGGTGAAGTCGCTGGTGGCCGTGTCGGAGGGGGTATCAAACGGCGTCGTGTCGGTGTGTAGTGGGAGTCTCGATGGGGAGCTGAAAGCGTGGAAACTCTCATTTTCGAATCTCAACACTCCATCGCCTAATTCAAATCTTCTCAAGTGGAGCTAACGTACAAATTATTTTCTTTTGTACAATTATTTTATTGCTTCGAAATCTTCCAAGTGTGAATTTTTTGCAGATTTGGGAATTGAAATTCCATTTTATTGAACAATCCAACGCTGTTACAGAAACTTATCATTTTCATTTTAGTGGCAGTGTAATCTATTGTTAACAGGTAATTAATTAAGAAGAACCCTGATTATTACACATATATAAAGATCATCGTCTTTCGTGAATTGCTTGCAATTTGGTAATGGGAGCGAGTAATATTTTAATTCCCCCAACATTTAGATCACATTTTCTAATTTAAAAAGAAAAAAAAAATTGAATATTTATAAACCCAAGTCATATTTATCCACAACGTCCGAGTCATATAGCAGTGAACAAAAGTTACACAAAATTAAACTCTATCCAAAAACCCAAAATTGTTTGTGGAGAATATATATTAAATTATAAAATTTAGTCTTCAACTTATGTTATATACATAAAAAAAAAAAGTAGTGGAGTTTAAACTTGCATGATATATGATTTTTAGATGAGAAAATTAAGCAGACAAATTAAAAGAGATTTAAATTGAAGAAGATACATATATATATATATTGTGTAGCAGTGGAATTGTAATGATAAGAGTGTATATAGAAAGAAACCAAGTCCAAAGTTGCCTTCTAGCTGGCCCGCTGCCACTCCAGTCTCCACTACTCCACACAAAACAACACAGAGAAATCTTTTTTCTTGGTTTTCCATTGATAATACACAATCCTGCAAAGTAAGAAATGCTGAATGCCACTCAAGTTGGACAACTTGAACACTGTTCGTGCGGGTAATATTCAATACATGCTCACTAACTGCCAAATGATAGACCATATATATATATATATATATTTTCTTTCTTTTTTTTTTAGAATCGATGTATTTATTATTTGGATTAAGTGATACCATAAAGTTTCATATCATAGTGTCAAATAAAACCATATAATATGAGTTGGTGGTGCGAGAAAGATAAAAGCCAAACGAGCTCATCCACACCCATAGATATCCGCCCTCTGCACATTTATCATGGCTGTCGATATATCCACACCTCCAATATATGCATATATAATATCTATATGTATGTTAGTTCGCATCACCTAAATTTATACAATATAGGCTACATAAGGAAGAAAAAGAAAAAACCGCAACTTTGTTTTTTCAATGCACCACTGGTATATATGTTGGTATTCCAAATGAGAAATTTAACCTGATAGATTAAGTCTAAAAAGAGAGTAAACAGGAAAGAAGTTATCATTTTTTTAAAGGAAATTGATTAAGATAATTGGGTAAGCAATGACTAATCAAATTTCCTTGACAATGGAAGAAAAACACTCTTAAGATAATTTTGTGTTGTTAATTGCCATGTTGTTCTAAATTCTACTCCATTAACGAACATGATACATTAATAATAATAGTATTCAAAGTTTTGAAAACAATAAAAGTAATTTTTAAACAAAAGAAAGAGGTTAGATTTTTTTTTTT